GTCTCCCAGGGAAAGTGAAGGACAGAGACGACGAGTACAAAGAATGACGGAGATGACGGCTCGAACGGAAAAGCCCCTCACACACGCCGACAGGGTCGGCGGATTTATGTGAACAGACAGGCATATAGATAAATACATGCATACATACATACAGGCAGAGAGACAGACAGACAGACAGACAGACAGACAGACAGACAGACAGACAGACAGACAGACAGACAGACAGACAGACAGACAGCCAGGCAGACAGACAGACAGACAGACGGACAGGCAGAAAGAAAGACACACATACAGACATGCATCCATACATACAAACATACAGACACACACACACACACATCTACCCATCCATCCATCCATCCATCCATCCACCCATCCATGCAAGCATGCATGCATGCATACGTACATACACACGTACATGTATGCGTACATACATACATTCATGGATGCATGCAAGCATGCAGACAGACAGACAGACAGACAGACAGACAGACAGACAGACAGACAGACAGACAGACAGACAGGCAGACAGACAGACAGACAGACAGACATACAGACCGACAGAAAGACAGACAGACAGGCAGGCAGGCAGACAGACAGACACACATACATGTATTCGTATAGACAAGTGTATATTGTCCTCCCTGTGCTGACTGTGGCGACTCGCACCCGCAGTGGGCGAGGGATCCGATATCACCACGCACCGCGTCGCTGAGTCGGGGGGTCGGGAGGGAGTTGGGGACGGTTGTGAGCTCGACGTTGGAGGATCGACGTGGACCCGGGGATGTGATCGTCAGGGAGAGGGCCCAACCCCAACCACGTCCGGTGTTGCTGCTCTGCGCACGCGCAGGATCTCAAGACTCCAGACTTCTGGGAGCTAGGCCTCGGGGAGCCCATTCCCACCACCGCGCTCCACAACCGCGGAGTCTGGGAACTCGTGGACGCCGTGATCGACCACGGCTCCGGCGGCGGCCGGGGTCAGCGAAAGTGCGCAAAGAGCTCCTCGCTTTCCTCGCCGTTGTCTTTGTCTTCCTCCTTCTTCGCCTCGTCGTCCTCGTCCTTCGGCTGCTCGTCGTCCTTGTCGTTGTCCTACTTCGTCGTCTCGAGAAAGACCTCAGGAACGGCTGCTCGGAGTCGCTGCCCGTGCGGTGAGGCGTAGGAGGATTAGGAGGAGGAGGGGGAGGAGGAGGGGGAGGAGGATGATGATAAAGAGGAGGAGGATGAAGAGGAGGCGTAGGAGTAGGAGGAGAGGAGGAGGGAGGAGGAGGATAGGAGGAGAGAGAGGCGTAGGAGGAGTAGGAGGAGGAGGGGGAGGAGTAGGAGGAGGAGGAGGAGGAGGTGGAGGAGAGACTTCTTCAGTCCGTGCGTGGTGCTGCCCGTTTTGCTTCCAGGCACACTCGGCAAGCTCTGCTGGCATGAAAGCGTGGTGCTCTCGCCACGCCCTCTCTCTCTCCTCCTCCTCCTCCTCCTCCTCCTCCTCCTCCTCCTCCTCCTCCTCCTCCTCCTCTTCCTCCTCCTCCTCGTCCTCTTCCTCCTCCTTCTCATCCTCCTCCCTCTATCTGTTTATCTCTTCAGGAGGAGGTGGAGGGGGCAGGGGCGGGGAAGAGGAGAAGGAGGAGGAGGAGGAGGAGGAGGAGGATGATGAGGAGGAGGAGGAGGAGGGGAGCGTTTTTGAGGTTTTGGGGACTCTCGGGGGGTCAAGCAGGCTCTTGCAGCTTCTGGCTTCCAAGGCTTATTTCCCCTGCGACCCAACACGCTCAAGGCGGAGCCGCCCACGTTGCGCGAGCAGGCGACCAGCATCGCTATCATCGGAATGCCGAACTCGGGCAAGTCCTCCCTGCTCAACGCGTTCTGCGGCGAGTATCGCTCCATAGTCAGCGACCGCGCTAACACCACTATGGACTCCGTCGACGCGTACCTCGAGACAGAGGATACTGGAAAATTGTATCGGTTCGTGGACACCGCCGGAATCGTGAAGAAGAGGAGGCAGCAGGCTTGTTTAGAGCAGGATGAGTAGAAGACAGAAGATGAGAGGGAGCAGGAGGACGACGAGGAGGATGAGGAGGAGAGAGGAGGAGGAGGAATCCATGATGAGGACGGGGGAGGGGAAGAGCAGGGGGAGGAGGATCAGGACCAGAATCAGGAGGAGGAGGAGGAGGAGCCACAAGGCCGGCATGCATTGGCTGGGCATAGTCCGGGCGCTGAAGTCGGCGAAGCGCGCCGACGTGGTGCTCCTCTGCCTGGACCCGAGCGAGGTCATGTCTGGCAACTCGTCCTTGGGCGCGGCCTACTGGGAACCGAAGCAGGCGCACAGGTACATCGCGCGGCAGTTGGAGGATCCTCCCCGAGGCCAGCTTTTAGGGCGGGCCGGGCGTTTCGCCCGAGACTTCCTCACCACGTATGACTCTGACGCTAAAAAAAATGGCAACAGGTTCACGGATTGAGGGCGAGTGGTTTTCAAAATGTGGCTTTCGCCTTAACGCCGCGCGCACTCGCCTTAACTATGTGCAAGAATTTCGTGGCTCTCGCCTTAGCGCCGCGCATATTAGTTTTAAGCATTTGCAAGAGTTTCGCGGATTCGGTGCGAGTTGTTTTCAACATTTGGCTCTCGCCTTAGCGCCGCGCACATTCGTCTTTCAAATGTGCAAGAGATTCACGGATCGACGGCGGTTCTGCTTTAAATGTGGCTCTCGCCTTAGCGCCGCGCACATTTATTCAAGCAAAGAGAGAACATGCAAGAGCTTCACGGATTGAGGGCGAGTGGTTTTCAAAATGTGGTTTTCGCTTCAGCGCCGCGCACATTCGTTCAAAGAAATTGCAAGAGCTTCACGGATTGAGGGCGAGTCCTTTTCAACATGTGGATCTCGCCTTCGCGCCGCGCACATTCGTCTTTTTAAAAGCTGCAAGAGTTAAAATGTGTTTCTCGCTTTAACGCCGCGTTCATTCGCTTGCAACATTTGCAATGCAGTGACGGATTCCCATGATCAGCGAACCAGGAATGGCGTTTTGGAAGGATTCAGGCTTATGAGGGTGCACGATCTGTGTTGATTCGCAGTGCTCAAGTTCCAGGAATGGCGTTCTGGCACGATTCATTCAGGATCGTCAAGTCGCAACAGTCAGGTTGATCCGTGGCGTTGGAACCCCGAGAAGAATTATTTGGCATGCTTCAGGGTCTTCAAACAGTTTTCTTCCAGGGAGCTTGGAGGGAGGGTTTATTAATCGAACATCGTTGATGCATCTTGGGTTTACACTGGTCCTCCTCCTCCACCTCCTCCTCCTCTTCCTCCTCACTCGAATAGGAGGGGTCCAGTGCCGTCTTGCTCACAGCGGGCCCGCGAACCTCTTTAGTTTTGAGAGGGAACAAACCGCCACTCTGCTATGTGTCATGTTTCCATTGCCGCCATCTCTCTTAGTTTTCACCAATGCTACCCGCAATTCTAGTTGGTAGCGGAGCTGGGGGCGATTCCAGCTCGCGATCCACGAAGCTGCGCGCAGTGCGATCTGGACGCACATTTGCACTTCTCCCAACCTCTTCATCGCTACCACCTTCCGTCCCACGAACAGCCTGTGTTTAGCGTTTGGTACTTCGCCCTGGACGCTCACAGGCGACGATGACGACAAACGCCGTATGCCGTATGACACGTGTTGCTCAGGGCAGCAGCAGCAGCAGCAGCAGCAGCAGCCGCAGGCGCTATCGCGATGTGGAGGGACTCGCCCACGGGAGCGCCACGACGTTACCCGACCCATCGCACCCCGGTGGCACTGGCCCCAGCTTGGCGTCGGGCATGACTGCGAGGCTCCTCCCTGGGCTAGCGCCGTGCCTCGTGAGTTGTGCGACAGTGCTGGCTGTCCGAGTACGTCGCACCGCTCGAGTGGAGTACTGAAGGCTAATGTACCTATCCCACCACCCTTGGCACTAGTCATGGGCAACAACACTACTACGGTTGCCACCTGCTTCAACATGGTGTTCGTCCTTGCGCAGGCCCGAGCCCCATGGCGCTTCCGCAGCTCACATCGTGGCGCAATCGTATCATGTCGCATCGAAGAGGGCCCCCATCTTGGCGCTCGGGGGCAGCAGGCCACTCATCACCAACCTGATCGCGCCGATGCATGTATTCGTCCTGACTGTAGACCGTAGCTGGCCAAACACGCACCCGATGAGTGCTGCAGACACCACGTCCAGATGCAGCGAGCACGCCGGCTACGCCACGACCATTGTTCATTCTGGTTTTTCGTTTCACCCGCCTCTTCTTCCAGTTCGGCAACCTCACTACCACCTACACCAGCATTATTCCAGGATGAAGCGTCCAGGCATCTCCTTGGCACCTATTGCTGTGGTGCCGCGTGTTGTTCGAAGCCTTGTCACACACCCTTCCCCAAGGAACAGGAAAGTGGCCCAGTTTGCATGCTACACCGCGCGTGGCCCTGGCCACAACCACTTGTCGGCCTCACCACCAGCACGCCGCCTGTTCACCCACTCAACAGGGTAGCAGTGTTGAGTTCGATTGACAGGCGATCGGGGCCGAGCTGTGCTTACCACTTGACAATAAGACCTGGTGACCTACGCTCTAGTGCACGCGGTGCGCCCTGGCGCTCGCACGCACGATGCACGGAGTGTACAGCTTCAGACACACTGACACGTTTGTTGTGCCCTCGGCCGCAAGATCATGTTTACGCCCTACTGTGTGCCATTCGGCCTGGGCACGCGGCCACACGGCAATCTGTGCACCCTCTGCCACTGCAGTTTCGGACAGAGAGGTGTACACGTCTGTCTCTTCAGTGGAATTTGTCCGATCACTCAGGACTCGCTGGTGGTGAGCACGCCTGCGCATTGCCAGTGCGCGGCAGTGCAGACCTCGCGGTGCACGCTACCTATACGCACCCATGTGCCGCTCAGCGCGCCCGGGGCATTCCCTATGCCGGGTCATGCAGTTGCGCAATTACGGTGTGCTACGCCTTGGCGCTCCCAGGCGTCGTGCCACGCACGCTGGGGCATGGTCAATGCCAGGCGTTCCCGGCAGTGCCAGCACACGCGACGTGCAACGTGCAACGCCTGCGCGCACTTACGCGCCTTGCAGCGCACGCTGGGCATCAGTACGCTCAGCTGTGCGTCGGAGCGTGCGCAAAGGCAGAGGCGTGCCACGCTTGTGCCCGACAACGCATTGTGCTACGCACGCTGGGGCGCCGTTGCGCCCGCCTGTGCGCCTGCGCGCGCGCAGGCTGTCGCACCAAGCACCCCTACGTATGGCCAAGCTCATCTCCAACCACCTCTCAGAGTGCCAGCTGGCGCCGATGTTGGTTCTCCCAACCACATTCATGTTTCGCTTGGCTATGTCACGCGGGATGCAGGTCACAGAAAGACCTTTTGCGGGCCGGGTCAGCCGGCATGCGATTCCAGCCCGTGTGCACGTTTACCATCTTGCAAGCTTTTCTTCGTATCTCTACCTCAATCCACCCACCCAACCACATCGCCGCCTCAGTGATGAGGAACAGTTAAGGCACATGCCAGCCGATGCGGGCAGTGCCACCTCATTGCGCACTGCCTCTCAGCTGCGTGTTCACCACTCGGCGCGATCTACCTTCAGCGTGCAACCTGCTGCGGGTCTGGCACTTGATTTGTCCAGCACGGGCCGCCTTCCGGCGGAGGAGTGCCTCCACTGAGGTCTCGCCGGCCGGACCAACGGCTTGGCGCCCCCTCGCCAAGGGCGTGCCCTGTCGGCCCGCACCGCTTGCGGTCTGCACCTGCGGTTGAGCCGGCGCCTGACGATCCAAGGGGTCCAGTTCCACAGAGCTCTCCGCCTCCTTTCCGACGGACCGCCCGAGCGTGACATGCTCGCGAGGTTGATTGCACGCATTGGTCTTCAACCGAAGGACCTATGACCTTCGCCGAAAGTTTCACAGCGCGCGCATTCAGTCTCATCGAGCATCATCGCGTCTATCCTCTGTCTGGGCTGATGTGGTATATGTCTGTTGTCTATCCCGATCGCTTCGTCTTCGACCTACGAGTTTGTCTCCGTGCGCATAACCGCTGTGTTCTACATGATACTATTACTTTCCTGTTTTTCTTTGTCATCTTTGTCCACACCCAGTACGTCGTGTTCTACCGGGCCTTCTTCTCCACCCTCTCTGTCCACGGTTCTGAGAGCACGGCCTTTCCGCTAGCCCCAGGTCAGCGGACAGGCGTGCAGAGGGGGGCCGCGCTCCGAACCACGGCGCCCCACGACAGGGCTGGCGCGCACGTTTGCGCGCAGCTCTGCCTGGCCAGTATGCGCGTGCACGCCTGCGTTTCTGCGCCCGCGCTGCGCGCCGCGCGCGACTCGAATGCCCGTCCAAGGGTTCACTGTTCGCTCGATCCCTGCTTCCGAGCGCCGCGGACCACGGGGCACCAGCTGCTGCTGGATAGGCCAGACGACGAGGGTGCAGAGAGTCTGAGGCCGTGGGAGACAAGGCAAACTCGAGGCGAGGAGGACGACACCAGGCAGGAATAACAGTCAGGAGGAGGAGGGCGCGCGAAGGCAACCACCACGCGAAGGCAGAGCGAGGTAGTGCCAGCACGCGGTCTCCAAATCCGCCCCATTCTGCCTCTGCTCAGCCTTCCCCAACTCGCACTCCGAGGAGGAGGAGGAGGAGGAGGAGGAGGTGGGAGGGAGGAGGAGGAGAGAGGAGGAGGGAGGGGGAGGACGGGGAGGGAGGAGGAGTGGGGAGGGGGAGAGGAGGAGGAGGAGGAGGAGGAGGAGGAGGAGGAGGAGGAGGAGGAGGAGGAGGATGAGGAGGAGGAGGAGTAGGAGGAGGAGGAGGGGAGGAAAGGAGGTGGAGGAGGAGGAGGAGGAGGAGTGAGGAGGGAGGAGGAGGAGGAGGAGGGAGGGGAGGAGGGGAAGGGAGGAGGAGGAGGGAGGAGGCGGGGAGGAGGAGGATGAGGGAGGAGAGGAGGAGGAAGAGGAGGAGGAGGAGGAGGAGGAGCCGGAGCATGGAGGAGGAGGAGGAGGAGGAGGAGGAGCAGGGCGCAGCACGTCCGCAGAGAGAGAGAGAGAGAGAGAGAGAGTCCCAGGCGAAGGCTCGTCGAGCACAGGCCGCCGGGGGTCGACCCGGAACGGTGCTTTGGGCGCTGTCGTGGGCGGCTTTGTCGTTTCATTTTTGTCGGTTCTGCAGCACAGGAAACGAGGGAGAGAGAGCGAGATGACATATCGAAGCTGAGAAAACGGACACAATAACGAAAGCAAAGCAGCACGGACACGACACGAGCATGAAATCGAGGGAGAACGAAAACAGAACACAAGGGAAAACGAGAGCACATCGAAAATGAATAGCACCGTTTAGGTTTATGATGTTCCAACCTACTTTAGCCTTGACCGCGAGAAAGAATTCTGAGCCCCCAGAAAAGTATAGAAACTCCATGATTTTCACGCGTCGGGCCCTGGGAGACACTCGCCCGACACTGTTTCGACACTCTTTCGACACCTGTCCAGGCGCTCGCAATTTACTTCTGGGATGTGGTCCTCCTACGCACGACGGGAGCAACAGAAGTTTGGGTCCATCCCTGCGCCATGCGGTGGGGCCCGCCAGCGCGGCCGCGAGGTGGCCTGCCACCTGCTCCCGCCGCTGCGCCAAGCGGCGCCGGGCCGTCGCCCGCCCCGGAAGAGCGCCGCTCGCCGCGGGGGGCGGTGGGGCCCGCTGGTGAGGTTGCGTCGGGCACGTCCCGCTCTGCCGGGGGGAGTGTTCAAAAATAGGCCCCAAATAGTACGGGGACGATTTTTGGGGAGTATTTTTTGATATTTTTGGTGCATTTTGGGGGTATCTTTCTCTGGCGCCCCAAATCCCCCTGTAGGGGGACACGCCCGACCTAACTCTGGGAAGGGGGCAAAAAAGTAGAACCCCATTCGTCCTGGACCCCGCGTTCGCCCCCCCCCCCCCCCTTCCCCCAAGTTCGAAGTTGGCTTCGGCCTCCCGGAGGCTCTGGGGGTTCCTCTTCTTTTGTCCTCTCACGCCTGTGCTGCCGAGCGCTCGAGGCCAACTAACTTTGAAATTGGGGGGGAGGGGGGCGTGGTGTCAATGGTTCCATTTTTTTGTCCATCGTCGATCCCCTGCTTACGTTGCATCTTCGGGGGACCTCGTCTGACCCCCGCATTGGGTTTTTTTCTTGTGCCCGACGCGGGCTCGCGATGCAGATTTAGCGCGGATCTGGCGTGGATTCGACGCGGGTGCGTCGTGGAGTTGGCGCGGATGCGACGAGTCCGGCATGGACTCGACACGGATTCGAAGGGGGTAGGGGCGCTTTTGGACAGGCAAGGTCCCCCGAAGATGCTACATAAGGCACGTACCCCAAACGATGCGAAACGGTGGGCGGAGATTTGCTGCCCCAGCCAAAGAGCACGGGGCGACCACTTCCGCAGAGATGTGGCGGAAACGGTGACGGCAAGGTTGGGCGGACGTCGACATCAAAGGATCTTGAGAAGGATGGCGGAAATGCCTGTCCTGCTTGCGAAATCGCCGAACGTACGGCGGATTTGGAGGCAGGGTGGCCGGAGTCGCGATGGCGCGGCCACATGCGGACGGTTGATGCCCACACAAATAAGCAGGCCAGGATGAAGGGAGGAGAGGAAGAGGAAGAGCGATTGGAGCCCCTCAAACGCACATCCCGTCCACGGACGGGCGGCTGCGGGTTGGTGCCGGCGCCTGTGGGGGCGACGGTGTTGGCGTGGGCGCTGGCGCAGGTTTAGGAGCTGGTGCCGGCGCAGGGCGCCCGCACACATACGAGGTGTGTGCAAAGCGAGGGTCCAGCATGGCCCTGGCCAGGCAAGGTGGTGGTGCACAGATGCTCGGAGCGTCTCACGGCTGCGCGGCACGGCTCTTTGTTCATCGAAGTGCGCGTGCACGAGCCGCCATGAAGAAGAGGGCCCTGCAGGGAAAGGGGTCCTCAGGTGCTTCGGTGCCTTCGGCTTCTCGCGGCCCTTCTCGGGCCAAGGGACCGTCGTCGACGCCACCCTTTTGGAGGTTCGCGGGCGTTTCTGGAGATTCCCGTCGCCACGGTAAGACGCAGCTTGAACAATTGACCAGGATGTGCCTTAGGAGGGGTCAGGGGGCTGCTTTTCTTCTGATGCTGTTGTTCGATTTGAGCGGATCTTGGTTCGAAGGAGTGGGGTCTTGAGGGAAAGGGGTCCTGCGGTTTTTCTTGGTCTTCTGGCTTCCTCGACCCTTCCTGGACCCTTCAAGACGCGGCTCGGGATGAAAATCCCGTCCCCGGGAGTGGGCCGAGGCGTCCAAGACCCGGTTCCGCCCGGACCTTGCCGCAAAAACTTGCGGAGCGAGGAGCGCGGCTGCGCGTGCGTGATCGTGCTGACGAAGTGGGACGCGGTGGGGAACAAGGACCAGAGGATGCAAACGATGCATTCGAGGAACGAACAACGTCATAAACAAACATATTCTGAGGTCAGCGCGGATTTCTTAGATCGGCGGTGGAGCTCACTGGCGGCGCCTCCGGCGCCGCCCCTGGCGCGCTCCGCGCGCCAGGGAGGGGGGTCCAGCGCCGATCCGAGCAATCCGCACGGACCTCCGAGTTGTTATGTTTATGGCCTTGTTTGTTCAGCGAGCGGAACAATATCACAAGTTTGATTTGAGCGTTCTGAGAAACAGCGTGCCAACCTGGATCAGATTCCATCGATCTCTTAGGAACGCCCCCCCCAACACACATTTCAATGTTGACTTGCATTATTTTGTCCACCCGGACTTGGGGTGCTCGCTTGATGCCAACATTGAAGTGTAGGGGGCGGGTATTGTTCGTCCAGGTTGCGTCGCAATGCAGGTGCAGCCGCACGAGGTCAGGAACAACTTGCAAAATTTCGTCGTCCCACCGTTCCTCGAACTACGCACCTCACAATGTTGACTGGGCCACTGCTATCTTGAAGGCCAGTGTGGCCAGGAACGTATACATAGACCGACCCTGGGCCCAAGATGGGTGCTGCCTGGAGAGGTGTGCAAAAGTCTCGGGTCGGCGGCGACCCCAGCGCGGGCGTTCAAGGTTGTACGCGAACGCCACCAGTGGCCTGGAATCGGCCGACCTCGAACGATCTGCGACAGCCGAAAGCTGCGATCGCTCAGGGTTCAACGATCCACGGGGTGTCAGAAGCCAACGCCGACGTCATCGCGACGTGAGCCCGCGATAGGTGTGCAGTCGGCGTCCCCCCAACAAAGGACGAGAGGACGCAGTCGAAGTACGTGGAGTCGATCCGCAGCGGCCTCGCGGGCGTCGGCCAGTGGGCAGAGGTCGTGGCCTGCTCTGCCAAGACAGGGAAGGGCATGCAGAAGGTCCTCGACGCGGTGGAGAAGACGCTGGAAGCGCACCGGAAGCGGGTTCTGGGGGAGGAAAGGAACGTAGGGGAACGAACAGTGACATAAACATACAAATTCGGAGGTCCGCGCGGATCTCTCGGATCGGCGCTGGGGCCCCCTGGCGGCGCCTCCGGCGCCGCCCATGGCGTGCTCCGCGCGCTAGGGAGGGGGGGTCCAGCGCCGATCCGAGAAATCTGCGCGGACCTCCGAGTTGCTATGCTTATGTCACTGCTCGTTCCCCTGATCAGGAGGGCCAGGTGGGGGAGAGGAGGAGGAGGGGAGGAGGGAGGAGGTGGAGATGAGGAGGAGGAGGAGGAGTGGAGTGGAGGAGGAGGAGCAGGAGGAGGAGGAGGAGAGCAGGAGGAGGAGGAGGTGGAGGAGGAGGAGGAGGAGGAGGAGGAGGAGGAGGAGGAGGAGGAGGAGGAAGAGGGGGAGGAAGAGGAGGAGGAGGAGGCAGGTCTTGAGAGAGGAAGGAACGGGCCAGGAGGGGAGAAGCGAGGGGGTGCTCGGGGGTTGGCTGGGTTGGCTGGTGGTCTGGGCACAGCTAGCCGCTGGGTGGGCCACGCGGGCACAGCCCCGAGAGCGGCACAGCTCCACTCGGGGATTGCCGGGGGGCAGCGCTCCTCCAGTCGCGGGGGGGGGGAAGGAAGAGGGCGGGGGAGGGTGAGGCCGACGGGAGGTGGAGGAGGAGGAAGAGAAGCGAAGCAGAGGAGCATGATGATGATGATGATGATGATGATGATGATGAGGAGGAGGAGGAGGAGGAGGAGGAGGAGGAGGAGGAGGAGGAGGAGGATGGAGGAGGAGGAGGAGGAGGAGGAGGAGGAAGAAGAAAAAGAAACAGCAGAGGAGGAGGTGGTGGTGGAGGGGGAAGTGGGGGGACGTGGATGATACAGCGGAGGGGAGGATGAGGGGGGGAAATGACGGGAGGGGAGAAGAGGGAGACAAGGGGGAGAGAAAGATAGACAGAGAGGGAGAGAGAGAGAGAGAACGACAGATTAATCAAGACAATATCGAGAAAGACAAAGAGAAATATAAAGAAAAAGTGGATGATAACGATACATGTAAAGAGAAATGAAGTAATAGAGAGGTGAAACAAACATAGAACGAGAGAGATAGAGACAGAGACGGAGACGGAGGCGGAGACGGAGGCGGAGACAGAGGTAGACAGACAGACACACACAGACACGCACAGACCGACAGACAGACAAGCAATCGGGCAGATAGACACAGAGACAGAGGCAGAGCGGCAGAGAGGCAGAGACAGAGGCAGCGGCAGGTGCAGCGACAGAGGCAAAGAGAGAGAGAGAGAGAGAGAGAGAAGAGAGAGAAAGAGATAGGCCTCTAGGGGGCTTCCTCGTCGCCACGGCCGGATCGGCCTTGACATTCGGGTTGCAGCGCACCCCCGGACAGATTTGGAGCTCAATTTTTGCAAGGGGTGGGGACGGCGGGGAGGAGGAGGAGGAGGAGGAGAAGGAGGAGGAGGAGGAGGAGGAGGAGGAGGACACGGAGGAGGACACGGAGGAGACGAGGCGGAGGAGGAGGAGGAGGAGGAGGGAGGAGGTGGAGTGAGGAGGAGGAGGAGGAGGAGGAGGAGGAGGAGGAGGACGAGGAAGAGGGGGAGGAAGAGGAGGGGAGGAAGAGAGGCACGGAGCTGACGACAGCAGGGAGGCAGGTAACGGGAGGGAGGAAGCAGACGCCGGCAGAAGGTGCACATGCACCACCACCATTTCTGGCCAGGCCGATCCTGGCCAGGGCCCAGGAAGGCCCTGGTCAGGCATGGTGCTGGTGTGTGGGCGCCTTCTGCGCTTGCAGGTACCCACCCCGGTTCTGAACGGCGTCGTCAGGGACGCGCTGCTGTGGCGGCTGCCCTCCGCCAAGAAGGCTGTAGGCAGCAGACAGGGCCGCATTTACTACGCGGTCCAGTCCTCCACGGAGCCGCCGACGGTCGTCCTGTTCTGCAACAACCCGAAGCTGTTCGGTGTCAACTACAAGGCCTGGTGAGCCCTGCTTTCGCCCCGGCTCCTCCCCCCCCACCCCGAGGCCTCCTCCGCGCCGCCGCGGAGGCCGCGGCACAGCAGTCTTCCGGTCGCGCTGGGGCCTCCCCTGGCCCGGGCTCCGTCTTCGGCCTCCGAGGGCCCTTGGCCGGGTGCGCAGACCCCCCCCCATGCTCGACCCCCTCGCGGCACGGGGAAAAGAAGCGCGGCGACGAGGTCTACCTCGAGAACAAGATCCGGCAGGACCTCGCCTGGTTCGGCACCCCGCTGCAGCTCGAGTGGCGCAAGCGCTCCGAGCGGCGCGCCCTCAACACGGTCCCCCGCCTCGGGCAAGAAAAAACGCAAGTTTTGCCGTGCCGCCAGGCACGCTCGCGGCGGCCAGCCCCTGTCCAAGAGTCCCCCCTTCTACTCTCCCTCCCTCCCTCTCTCTGTCTCCTCCCCCTCCCTCCCTCTCTCCTCCTCCCCCTCCCTCCCCCCCTCCTTCCCTCCCCCTCCCTCCTCCCCCTCTCTCCCTCCCCCTCCCTCCCTTCCTCCCTATTCCTCCCAAAAGTCCCCCCCCCTCTCTCCTCCCCCTCCCTTCCTCCCCCGTCTCTCCCTCTCTCCCCTTCCCGGAGGACAAGAAACGGCACAAACATATTCGGAGGTGTTCGCCGACCTCCGAGCGTTTATGATCCTGCTTGTTGTTTCCTCCTAGTTCCCGTGTCCCGTTCGTCTCTCCACCTGCGTCCCCCGTCGTGAGCGGCACCCCCTGGGGGTCCCCAGAGAAACCCCGAACGCTCTGCCGCCTCAGCCCGGCAAAATCCCCGGTCATGACGGCGCAGGGGGCCCCAGCAAATCGGGAGGGCATTCCCGCAAAATGCCCGCTCCTCCTCTTCCGCCTCCCTTCCCTCCTCCTCCTTCTCCTCCTCCTCCTCCTCCTCCTCCTCCTCCTCTTCCTCCTCCTCCTCCTCCTCCTTCTCCTTCTCCTCCTCCTCCTCCTCCTCCTCCTCCTTCTCCTCCGCATCATCATCACCGTCACCATCACCCTCATCATCATCATCATCATCATCATCATCATCATCATCATCATCATCATCATCATCATCATCAGCATCATCATCATCATCATCATCATCAGCAGCAGCAGCAGCAGCAGCATCAGCATCAGCATCAGCATCAGCATCATCAACATCATCATCATCAACAGCAGCACCAGCAGCAGCATCAGCAGCATCAGCAGCATCAGCATGAGCATCATCATCAGCATCATCAGCAGCATCAGCAGCGTCAGCAGCAGCAGCAGCATCAGCATCAGCATCAGCATTAGCATCGTCATCATCAGTAGTATCATCACCATCACATCATCATCAACAACATCATCATCATCACCAGCAGTATCATCATCATCAGTAGCATCATCAACCGCATCAACATTATCATCAGCATCATCATCGTCACCATCGTCATCATTATTATTCTCATCAGTATCAGTATCATCATCTTCATCATTCGCAGCATCATAATCATCAACATCATAACAACAAAACATCATCATCAACAACAACAACAACAACTCATCATCCTTCTCCTTACCTTTATCCTTCCCCTTCTCGTTCTCATTCTCCTTCTCCTTCTCCTTCTCCTCCCCTCCCCCTCCTCCCCCTCCTCCTCCCCTCCCCTCCCTCCCTCTTCGCTCCGATTCCTCCTCGCTCCTTCTTCTGTCCCCTCCTCCCCAAGTGGTCCTCTGGGCATTGCCTTCCCCCTGAGGTCAGACTTGGATTGCTAGTCCTTGTTCTTACAACAAACATCCCTCGCAACGTGTCTACGCACATAGGGGAACAAACGATGACGCAGGCATAACAACTCTGAGATCCGCGCGGATTTCTCGGATCGCGCCAGGGGCGGCGCCGGAGGCCCCAGTGTTAAGTCGGGCGTGTCCCTCTACAGGAGGAACATTAAAAATTAGTCGAACATTAATATGAGGACATTTGTTGTATTTGTTTTTGATCTTTTTGGGGTATTAAAAAATTGTTCGTCCAAAATTGGCCAGTAGGGGGACAGGCCCGACCTAAACCCAGTGCCGACCCGACGACTTCGCGCGGACCTCCGAGTTTTTATGTTCATGTCGTGGCTTGTGCCATTGTAGCACAGGCGGCCACGGGCCACAGTGCGGACAATTTCGCGGCAGCCCTGCGTAGGAGGAGGAGGAGGAGGAGGAGGAGGAGGAGGAGGAGGAGGAGGAGGAGGAGGAGGAGGAGGAGGAGGAGGAGACGCGAGGGGGCCTGGGCACCCTGCATCCTCGAGCTGCTAGTCGAGCAACGCCTCGCTCAAGCGTCGCCCCCGCCCCCGAGAGGTCGAAGACTGGCTGGGGCCCCGCCTGCAGCCGGCGGCTGCCGAGATGTTCAGGTGATCCGCCAGAGCGCGGCGCGGGGCACCGTTGGGGCCCCGCCTGCAGCCTGCCTGGGGGCCCCGCTCGTGGTGCCGCCGCGGTCCGTTCTCCCCTTAGTGTCGTTTAACCCAGTCCTATCCCGGTCCCCACCATCCCACCACCCAAGTTGGGGATATGCCCCTCGAAGCCCGAAGGGAACAGCCATTATCCCCATCTGGGGGCTTCAATCGGCCAGTGGCCGGGCCACGCTGGCGGGGCTAGGGATCGGTCAAACGGTGCTCATCCACCTATTTGGGCCTCTTTGCCAGGCTTCTCGCCGCCGCGACCAAATCCGCCTCGAGGCCCTCGCCAAAGTAACGCACCTCCAGGAGAGGTCTGGGGTCGATTCCTAAGAGGGGACTGTCGCCGTCGTCGTCGTCGTCGTCGTCGTGCACAGGCCACTCTGCTTCGATTCCCCGTGTGCCCCCCTGCCCTCCGCAGGGGGGAGGAGGAGGAGGACGAGGGAGGAGGAGAAGGCCGAGGACGAGGACGAGGACGAGGACGAGGGGGAGGAGGACCCCCGCGGCAATATATCTATAATCTACTTATATATATATATATATATATATACACACACATACATACATATAACGGCGCACCGGGTCCGGGGGCCCGGGGCCGGGACCTCGACCGCAAATGTGGGCCCCGGGGGGCCCGGAGGCTCGTCGGACCGCCGGACGCCGTCCAAGATCGTTCGCAGGCGGCTTAGGAACGCGCTCCGATGGCTCCAGATGCCTTCCAAGACGCCTGTCATGACACCAAGAAGGTCCCAGAAGCCTCCAAGACGCTCCGAGAGGCAGCCCAAGAGAGGCCCAAGAAGCAAAAATCGTGCCATTCCAATGGGAAAACGTATCTTTTTCGCATGTTCGCCTCTTGGGCTTTCCCCGCGTCCAAGACGGCCCAAGAGGCGCCCAAGAGGCCTCCGGGAGCGCTCCAAGGCTGCGCACGAGTGGCCCAGGACGGCCTCAAGACGGCCCAAGAGAGCCCCAAGATGAGTTCGAGAGGGGTCCCAGACGGAGAAAGCCAACCTCGAATTCCGAGCTTCCGGCCGAAGAGGCTCCAGGAGGCGCCAAAATGCCGCCAAGAGGCGCCAAACGGCTCCCAAAAGCACCCCAAGACGTTCCGAGAGGCACCCCAAGAGAGGTCCAAGAAACAAAAATCGTGCCTTCCCTATGGGAAAACGCATATTTTTCGCATGTTCGCATCTTGGGCTTTCACCGCGTCCACAACGGCCCAAGAGGCGCCCAAGACGGTCTACGAGGCCTCCGGGAGCGCTCCAAGGCTGCGCACGAGTGGCCCAGGACGGCCCCAAGACTGCCGAAGAGAGCCCCAAGACGAATTCGAGAGGGGTCCCAGACGGAGAAGGAGAAAGCCACTCTCGAATTCCGAGCTTCCGGCCCAACATATCCCAGGAGGCGCCAAAACGCCGCCCAGAGGCGCCAAATGTCTTCCAACATCAGCCCAAGACGTTCCGAGAGGCACCCCAAGAGAGGTCCAAGAAGCAAAAATGGTCCCATTCCCATTGGAAAACGTATACTTTTCGCATGGTCGCCTGTTGGGTTTTCACCGCGTCCAACACGTCCGAAGAGGCTCCCAAGACGGCCTAGGTGGCCCCCAAGAGAGTTCCAAGACGGTTCACGAGGCGCCCAGGACGGCAAAATTGGACTCCAAAATGGCCTAAGAGAGCCCCGAGGCGTGCCCGAGAGGGGTCCCAGAGGGAGAAAGCCATTGTAGAATTCCGAGCTTTCGGCCCCAAGAGGCTCCAGGAGGCGCCAAGAGAGCTCCAAGAAGCCCCACGAGAGACCCAGGACGCCCCAAGAGGCTCCAAAGGCGGCCCAAGAGAGCCCCAAGATGGGCCCGAGAGGGGTTCCACGCAAGTTGTTATTGTATCGCTCGGGAAAGGACGAGGATGAGGAGGAAGACGAGGAGGAGGTGGAGGAGGAGGAGGAGGAGGAGGAGGAGGAGGAGGAGGAGGAGGAGGAGGAGGAGAGGGAGGAGGAGGAAGAGGAGGAGCAGGAGAAGGAGGAGGAAGGGTGCTGTGGACCGCCGAAGCTTCCCGGGGAGTCCTGTGGACTCAGCTTCGGTCGTGGAAATAACGGTTCGCTCATATGGTCCCCCAATGTATCCAATTCACCCGGAGGAGGAGCAGCAGGAGAAGGAGGAGGAGGAGGAGGCGGAGAAGGAGGAGGAGGAGCAGGAGGAGGAGAAGGAGGGAGGAGGCAGGAGGGAGGAGAAGGAGGGAGTCTCGCCCTTCTCCTGGGTAGCCGAAGGCCAGACTAACAGATTGCCTTGGGATCCAGGGCCACTCTGGCGTGGCCAGGTTGGAGATTTCTACTTGCTCGCCAATCTGTTACCTCGCTGGCTCCCCCGCCAGATTGCCAATTTTTGCCCGATAGGGGCCGCCAGATTGGCTTCGACTTCGCGTCCCCAATTTCTTCTCACAGCGATTCCTGGGTCTGTAACTCGACAGAACCTAAGCGCGTGCGAAGCGCGCGTGGTTCTAGTATGTATGTATGTTTGTTTGTATATATATATATATATATGTGTAGGTAGGTCGATAGGTCGGCGTGGGCTCTGCAGAGCCGTCGCAGACCATGAGCACTGCCTGGAAAACTCCAACGCCGGGCTCGGCGCGACCTCTCGCGGCCAGACATTTGGGGAGCCAACACCTGGGCATGGGCCCCAGACAAAACCATGGGTCACCGAGACGCCCACGGCGTACAGTGGAAACCCGTGCCAAGAAGCACCCTGCTTGCCTCCAGGGTGCCCTGGGTTTCTTGGATTTCGACGGTTCTGCCAAGAAAAGAACATGACGTTCCCACACCAAAAGTCAGTGGACGTCCTGGGGTCTCAGGGTTGGGTTTCTTGTGGAAGGTTTCTTGTGGTCGAGCTGCATGCACCAAGTGCCGCCCGAAACAAGGCAATGGCACTCAGCTAGGCGGGGCAGACGGCGGAAAGCTTTAACAGCGAAGCCCTCGCGGCGGAGGATCCATGCCTCATGCCGCGGACCTCCGATCAGGGCGAGGGCGCTCAGCCAGCCGGGGGACCTGGCGGATGGCGTAATCAATTGAACTCCTTGTGATTTTTTTGTACCGCATCCTTCCCGCCTCAAGCAGAGTCCACCGCCCGGAGCCACGTTTAGCATACAATTGCACCAGGGAGAGGCCCCAATCGGATGGAGTCAGGAAGAGAGCGAGATCCATGATGCGAACATGAAAACGAACGTGAGATCGACAGTGAGTTCCATAGTGCGATCGGTAGCGAGATTGATAGTGAGGTCGATTGAGTTAGATCGATCAGGAATTCGATTGAGTGAGATCAATTGAGTGAGACAGATTGAGTGATATCGATTGCGTGAGATCGATTGTGATTGAGATCGAATCGGGAACCCCGCAATCGGGAGCGCGGAACCGGGAACCCGGGAACCAAGAACCCCGAACCGTGAATTGGGGAACCCAGAACCAGGAACCCAGGAACCCCGCGATCGGGAACGCGGAACCAGGAACCCGGGAGCCAAGACCCCGGGACCGAGGCCCCCGGGAACCCGGAACCGAGAACCGGGGAACCTGGCGGCTCACCGAATTCGGCCGCTTGTTTTCGCCAAGTCTTTCGAGATGCGCTAGGAGGACTCCTGCAGTGCAAGCGCTGATTGGGAAAAAGCCACGCCCCAGGGAGGGCATTTGGTATACCAAACCCACGACCAGGACCCCCGCCCAACCCCAGGGCTTTTGGGTTTTATATTCATTCGCATATCTTTATAATCCAGAGGGGTGGGACCACCCCCCCCCGCACCCGAAACGGGACCCACCGCAGATTCGTGCCCCTGGGGGACCCTGGACGCCCAAGCGGGAGGCCCTCATGCGTTTCAGAGCTCCTGGAAGCCTTTGCTGGGCCTAGGCTTACGTCGGGCGTGTCCCTCTACAGGAGGAAAATTCAAAAATTGGTATAAAAAAGTCAGGGGACGATGTTGTTGAGCATTGTTCGACTATGTTTGAATATGTTTTGGCAGTTTTTTATTCTTCATCCAAAATCACCCTGTAGGAGGACATTCCCGACCTAAGCCTCGGCAACTGGCCCAAATCGGTCAGGAGGGCGGCCGAATGTCCCCCCGAGGGCCCCAAGAGGCCCCAGACACCCACCAGACGCCCGAAGACGACCCAAAAAAGATCCCCAAGGGGCTTCCCAAACGCAGAAAAAAGCATTGATGTTCCACGGTTTTTGTATGATTGTGGGAATGCCATGTTATTCGTCCTTCTGGGCGTCCGAAACCGCCTGGGAGGCTCCAAAATCGTCCCACAACCATCCGAAAGGGCTTCCAGGCAGTCCAAGAGAGCCCCAAAACGGCACAACAGTAGTCCAAGATGGCCCTGAGAGAGCCCCATGGCGGCCCAAGATGGCCCCAAGACACCCTCCGAAGCATTCCAAATCGTGACCGGGTCGCTCCGGGAGGGGGACCGCGGTTGGAGGCAGGGTGGCCCGAGGAAGCCCCCAGAGGCCCCCAGAACACGCCCAGGAGGCCTCCAGAAGGTCTTGAGAAAATTGAACAACTTTTGTGAGGCCCCTAGAGGCTCTCCAAGGAGGAGCCTCCGCAAGAAGAGCTGAGGAGGATGGGGAGAATGCGCAGGGTATGGCGAGAATGAAGGAAAAGAAACATGGAGGAAGGATAAGCAATACATTATCATAATTGCGATGCCGGAGAAGGCAACAAGAAGGTACCACCACATTGTGTGTTTGATTTTCCTGCCTTTCCGCTTGCATGCCAAACTTCAAGGACCAAGGTGCATGGCGCGAAGCGCCAATGCAGTCTTGTATGCATGTATGTACGTATGTATATATGTATGTATGTATGTATGTATGTATGGATGGATGGATGGATGTATGGATGTATGTATGTATGTATGTATGTATGTATGTATGTATGTATGTATGTATGTATATATGTACGTATGCATGCATGCATGCATGCATGTATGTATGCATGCATGCATGTATGCATGTATGTATGTATGGATGTATGGATGTATGGATGTATGGATGTATGGATGTATGGATGTATGGATGTATGGATGTATGGATGTATGGATGTATGTTTGTATG